CGCACAGGCTGGATCGGACAAGATTAAGGCAAATGAATAAGATGGCAAGACACAAGCAATGCCAAAAGCTTGGGGGAAGTCGCAACGCAGACTTAACCGCCACAGATGCATGAAATGCATCCCCCAAGCAACCCAAACAAAGTCTAAATAAAGTCCCCTGACACACTAGCCATTTGGGGAACAGCAGAGAGCACGACAGCTTCAGGAGTATGAATATACATTTCGTAACAGACCAACAACCAACAATCTCGAACACATTTATAAAGCAGTCTGGTAAGCCCACAGCTGCCGTAGTAGATGCTGTACCTATGTAAAAACTATGGCCTTTAAAACTTGTGTAAGGGAGTCCTATGTGGCAAGCAGGGACCCGAAGTAGTTAAGTGACAAAGGGCTGTGTAAGTGCCCAACCCGACTGAAAGTAAAACAGTGCCCAGACCGAGGCTGGGCAAGCATAAATAACATTGTATCAATGAAAAAAAAGAAAAAAAAAGGCACAGTAAAGAACACAAGCTATTATGAGAGATTGCCCCGTCTAAACGAGGAATGCGAAATAGACTAGCGTGAATGCGGCCCAGATCATGGAAAAAATATACTGGACACCCAAACAACTTTCCAGGACAGAACACAATAATTATTATTACTAAGCGCAAACCTTGCTTAGGCCTTTGATGGGCTGGCACTGATTTGAGGTGTATCTGCCTGATACGAAAACCCTAAAAACTCCTTGGGGAAAAAAAGGGAATGTATTCTCCCACAAATGCAGGTACATAACCCCTAGAGAAAGGGGCAACCAGTGCCAGCAAAATTCAAGTCAGATCATTTGTAAATGCAGTTCAGAAAGTGCAAAGTCCATGGTATATAAGGGAACAGGTGTCAAGGCAGCAACAGAACTCTTGCAATGCAGACGGCAGGTGAACTCTAACATCACACTTCATGGTGGCAAAGAGAACAAGTGACACAACATCCCACATGACCAGTGGAGGCAGAAGGTAAGTGAGACACGGACACTACGTCACCCAGAGAGTCAAACCTCGTGGTTGGATGCAGAGGTACAGCAGTGCAGGCATACAAGAACAAAACAAAAGCCACAGAGTTAAACTGAGAAGGGATCAGAATAAGATCACCAAATAACCAAAAGAGGCAGGAGTTTTTTTGTTTTTTGTTAATTGTTATTTTAAATATGAAAGGAAATGATGAGTAAAAAGTCAGCTATGACTGATAACGTCTCGTGATCGAATTGGGTTATCAAGGAATGGACCACTGACAGATGGCCACAAAAACCTTCCCAGCAAAGCTGGATTGGACACGAGTGGCACTATAATCATAATATAATGAGGTAAGGGGGTACTAAAACCCCTACAATTCAGGCCATATCTCTTGCAATAGCTGCTCTGTAGTTGTGGCATTCCATTGGTATTTGCACTTTACCCGTCCAAAACAGATTGGGACCTACTAACAGGGTAAAAATTTGTGTACGCGCTTGAAGTAAAGTTAGATTTTCTAGTTGGAATTGAAGTTAACAGTAGCTGCAAACATCATTATGCAAGTTGTACATGTGAGCAGGAATACGGTTGTGCCAATATTGCTATGTAGAAAGTGAAGAATGATCATCGCAGTAAATTTTCCAATTTAAGCAATTGGAAAGAAGAAGCCTGAAAAAAAAAAAATCAGCTTAATAGTCATACCCCCATGGAAATATAATAAGTACTCCCCAGAAGCCATGTAAGTGAGAGAAAAAAGGCGGCATGGCATTCTCTGTATGGTTACACCAGCAGAAATAACTATAGAGCTTCTTTGGTTAGGGTATGCTAACCAAGGTAAGAGGGGCATGTACGTAGAACCAGAGACATATCACCAGGGGACACAAACGGATCCCAGTGAAACTGAGAATGACGGTATACTAGCAATAAGCAGAACAAATATGGACGAAACTATGAAATTATGGGGGTAACATATCACTGTATATAATATTATTGAATATAAGCTTAATGTTTTTTTTTTTCGCATTCATAAATGACCCTGGCTAACGTAACCCGGAAAAAAAATCCAGGGATACCATGGACTGGCATGACTTAGAAGGTAACAGGGTTTGACCCGTGGGCCCAGAGCCAAAGGTACAGGGAGAATGGAGGATAACACCGAGACAAATCAGCCCTGTACCAGATATGATCGCTTACCTATTGCGGGGAAGAGTATCATGGCTGAAGGCCGGAAAATGGCTTTGCACACCGATGCAAATGAGTTAAATGGAATAAATACTAGTATGGCTGACAATTAACCACTGCCCTACTGTAAACTAAAATGACTAGAAAAACTGCAAGAGCTAATAGAAGGAACTGTTAAAGACCGGCCTACAATTGCCTGTTTGACGCTGCAAAATAGTGATTACATTGGGGAACCACAGATGTAAAAGGATGGACAAGGATATGCTACATAACTTCTCCCCATAAGAAACTAGCTTACCGTGTAAATAACGCTAAGGGAAGATAGCAAGATTAATAAACGATGGCATCAAAACTGAACACCTCGATCATCGCTAAAATATTTATACTTAGAACTGCAACACTTGCCAAGGAACGGTATCCAGCGATAAAAGGGTTCCAGTGGAAATTTAGCTATAAGAACATTCGGTCAGAACCATGTCCATGAAAAAAAATATATATATATATACTAGTGAACAGTGTATTTTGGTATTGAACAGCGGGGAAGAGTAGCTTAATCTTGCCATGATGATATTTATATGCACGTGAACTATTTGCCAACATGGAATTTGAAACCACGTATTACAAAAAATACATGCAGCGTATTTGTAGGCCCGTCCCAAGGGAAAAAGGCGACCTCTGAAACCGAGATGATTGGACCTTCATCAGACTTTTAAAAAGATTAAAACGGAAATAAATAGTAAAATCGAACAGTGTAGGAACTGAGCCACGCGAAAATGGGAGTGAGACGGGGAGGACTGTGCAAAAAACCCTCAAACCCAGGCCTAAAGAATGTGTAAGGTTTGTAACGCAATGCGTGAACAGGAGATTGAAACAGCAGGGATGCGACAAAGGAAACAACAACCTCTTTCAGATCTCAAGCCTGATGCGAACAATAACGGGAGGAAGGGCCATACTGGCGAAACAGAACAAATGAAGAAAATAATAAGATAAAGAAAAGGCACTGTACCTGAAGAACAGCGGCATCCAAACGGTGCTTGACGTACGGTAGACGTAGAAAGCAGGCGATGACACGACTGCTCCAAGCGATAAAAAGGCTTCCAGTGGAAAGTTTAGCTCAAGAACAGCGGCCCCTAAATGGCGGTAGACGTAGAAAGCAGGCAGCGACAGTGAGCTGGGCGATGAAAAGGATCTGAGGAACCTGACCATGGAGATTGGTTCCCAATCCAGTTGTGGCCTTCCCAAGCGAATGGAGAGACGGTAGAATGCGCGATGGCCGGTCACGTTAGCAGGGTAAAGAGAGTTTCTCAAATATCTGTGAAGACTCAGCCGGGGATTTGCGAAGAGCGTCTGTGAAAGCTAGAACAAACCAACGTGTAGCATGTGTACGGGGTCAAGGATCCAGGAAAGGTGCAGATGTACTTCGCGACTGAAGGACAAACCGACGACAAATGGCAGCTAAGCCGGTTAAGCGAAGGAAGAAATTTATCGAAGAGGACTTGTAACTTTAGGTATCTAAAGGGGATGCCGCATTGTAGCCGCCGCAAATTGTATGCAGGTTAACTGTAAATGACCCGACAGAACAAAATTACTGTAACTGTTTGCTTTCGTGCAAGCTAAACGAATAATGACCAGGTCTGCAATAGCAGAAGTTTATAGCTAGACAGTCTCAAATCTCGACCAATGAATACAGTTGTACTATAAGCTACCTAGTCTTATCATCATTAAAGTCTGGCCATGAATAGGGCCTTGAAAACAGGGACCAATCTGCGCGATGCTAAGGAAAATATGATGACAAACATACAACAAATTAGTCAGGTTCCAACCACGAACAGTTTTTGTTTGTATCTTAAAATTAGTGTGCTTTCATTCATAAATAATGCTTGAAAGATCGAACAGAGCGTACACTGGGGCAGGCTAGCTTAGCCTACCCCCCCTGGGGCTTCATGTTCCATCAACTGCATTTACCATCTGGTAAATGTCTTATAAACATTCGAATGAAAGAACTGTTCTGCTTCGAACGTGCATCTTCTTTTGTTCATAGCAAAACATATAAACATATAAACTATAAGCGAGAATTAAATAAAGTATGAAATAATCTACCTTTACTTCAAATAGGAATCTTAAATATTCAGAATCCACCTTAAAAATCGCCAGAATTTGAGGATGTTTTGAAAATGCTTTTGTAAACGATACTAGTTTAGATCCCAGACCTCTCCCGTCTCTGCACATGCGCAGACGTTATTCAGCTCTGTCTGTTGTCCCTATTCTATTTACAAATTACAGACGTTTCATAAAATGGCACTCGATTCAACAATGGAACCAATTCTTAGACACATTCCCAAGCTTTTCAAACGCCGTAGGTATGATTGACGGAACCATTCACCGGATTCGCCGTCCTTCTGGACCACTTCAGTCATCTGAATGAAATCACCATTAAAGGCGCTTTACATCACAATGTTACTAGAAGAACCTGACTAAATCTATTGATTGTCTTTTGCGAATCGAATCAGTTTAGATAGCTAAATCCACTTTTCAGTGAAAGTGCCATGCATGACCCTTTAAAGTCCTTCTTCACTACTGTCACTTGCATATGGGATCTAAAACATAAACATACGTCCACATCATGTAGTGCTTCTCACTATGTAGCGAACATTGGGGCTAAAAACAAATACTTTCTTATGCTAGGCTTGCAGAAAATGACAAAATGTTTCCCGTCAAAAGGGATCTTGCTATATCGAACCTGAAGAAATACACATTAAAAGGTACAAACCATCATCAGTTTTTTCTCGCCATCCCTACAGTACTAACTTACAGCTTTGAACGTACTTACCTGTATCAGTCTTCTCCATCGTCAGAGTCACTATTCCCATTCTCACATTGAATACCAACGTCAGTCGCCATTTTGTCACATTGGATACAGTAAAAACTAAGAACCTGGTAGGTTATAATTTGCGAGTTAGGCCCCCTCTATACAAGAACCTGTTTAGCCGAAAATACGAAACAGGTTCTTAGTTTCTAAATTTTATAAAAAAATTCTTTTCAATTGGGCAAATAAGATGAGTCAATATTCAGGATCCTCTTCGAACACATAGGAGACTTATCACACCAGCTGTAATGTAATGGTCTGCAGATTTGATAGAAGGAATTAAGGTACATAGCACTAAATGCTCTTAGCTTCAATGTATCTTTTTCTTCAGAAAATGAGAACCTATTTAAGAACCTAAAGTAGCCTAAATATGTGCTAATTACCATTTATGTAAGAACATGTTTAGGCTGACTTGGGAAAATGCAGGTTCTTAGTCGCGGGTTTTTACTGTACTACACATGTCTGTGCACTTCAGACCCGCCTTTAAGCAGCAGCAGTGCTCGATGGTGCACGCTCTCATGCATGTGCAGGAGAGTATTTCAAGGACCTCTTCTGGATTGGGTTTAGATCCAAGCCACACAAATTTCATGACGTTAGAGATGTTGTCTACTTCCCAGCCACGTCCATGAGGAGAGGGGATTACCGGACGCAAAATGATGGCTCCTCTCCAGATTGCTGCCTGGTAATTTGCTCTTGTAACGTGAAGTCGTAGAGATGACTCACATGGTGGCAAAGCTTCTCGCTCTACTTTTCCGCCTCTGGCGCAATGAATCTGATAGCGAAGGGCATCCAGACTGTCGCACTTCTTTCCGTACAACTGACACATGAGTGCCTCCGTAGCTTTAAATGCTTCCTCGGATACTACCCACTCGTCCCCGATACTTGCCATGGCTTGGACATATCTGTCATTACGTTGAAGAAGCTGTACTCCTTTCCACTTTCCTTTACCAGAGAAGGCAGAGATGTATCACAACCTGTAATCGTGTGTATGCCGATGAGGGCTTTCATGAACGACTGCTTCTCAATGCCTCTGTCAAGTTGTTTCTCCAAAGTGCTAACAACCTTAGAAAGTTTTATTAATCTGGTCTTTGCATCCATTCCCTTCTTTATGTAGCACTCTCCAAGGTCCCGGCTAAAAGAAAGCAGCAGGATAAACACATCAGTATCATCAGAGTGGATGACGCAAGGGCCAGCCGTGTGCCGAGCATGGAGAACCATGCGCATATCAGCTTCTTCGTGATTGCACTGTAGTTCAGGAACTGGTTCGCACGTTCTCACGTCCAGTTGCCAACACTGTTCTTCGATGGTTATATACATGATACGGTTGCCAAGCCTGCTTCTGAATGTGTCTGTCTGCCACTGTGACACAAGGAATTTCACGATCTCAGGCTTGTTTGCGGTGACACTGAGCAGCTTGTTGCATGTATATGCAGGGAGTATGTTCTTATATTGCACACCGTCACTTGTAGACACTCTTTTTATTCTTTCTACATTCTTGATCGACACTTCGTGGTACATGCAGGGTTCGAAATTTACTTTTGTGTCCAGTTGCCCCTGGGGCAACCACAAGACTTGGTTTGGTTGCCCATAGAATATTTTGGTTGTCCAAGCTCTTGCCCCAGTTCAAGCCAAGAAACTAATACAGCTAGCTGTCTTATGCACCTCACTTATTTCATGTTTTTTGATCCCATCAAGACGAAAACTGGTGTTACCTTTTTCGCTCCTAAAGGCAGATTTATCTTTCGAAAACTGTCTGCAATAACTGCAAAACATAGCGTTTTCTTTCTCGTCAAATTTCAGCCAGGGTCTTCTAGTCTTCCACGTCTCTTGAAATGTACGACACCTTTTTCTTGAACATTGTTGCGCCTTGCCTAATTCTGCTGTAGATTTTGCGACACCCGTCGCCGTAGCATTGCTTTGATCATCATCTTTCTTCGTGGCTTCCAAATTGTTGTTATCGCCAACGGCCTTCACTTTCTCACGGCCGAAGTAGCGGAAGAGGCTCATGTTAACTAACATGATACCGGTAATAATAAGACGAATGGTAAATTACCATCGTCGAAACAAACATGGCGGCATCACGAAGCGAATCTCAATAGTACATCATGGACTATGTTTACTGGTACCAACCGCTGATTAAAGCACAACAGGCTCATTCAAATAAGAATGTTGTGCAAAAACGAACTTCGGTTTCCAACGGTAGAGTACATGATACTTTATTTCTTCCACGTTTTTTTTTTCTTTTCACTAACTTAGTTTAGGTATCGCTTACTCTCCAAAGACAAGCTGTTATATTTATTCAAATCTGTCAAGTCTTCATTATGGATTAGTGCCACGACAGATTGGGTTGCCCAAGGGGCAACCACTTAGCACAATTTGGGTGCTCCATCGTAATTTTGGTTGTCCGGGACAACCGGACAACCGTTAATTTCGAACCCTGTACATGTCAAACAAGACGTCTATGCGCATGCTGCAGGTGCTTGTTACCATCTCAAATACTCTCTCAGCAACCATATAAAACGTTGCTCCAGAGGGGATCTTTAGCTTTTGCAAGACAGCCATTCCATCAAAAATGCTGGTTGCGTTCTCCGGGTATTTTTCTGTGGCTGTGATACCTCGTTCTAGCTGTTGGGAAAGTTTGGCCTTGTTTGATTTTCGTGGAGGACCAAGAGGATAGGTAAAAAGAACTTTCACGTCAATCTGTCGAAACTGTTCGAGAAGTGCTATCCGAGCAAATACATCTCGAGCCATTCGAAGAGGAAGTACTAAATTCTTGTTGTGAACTTTGCGCACAGCCTTCAGGTCCTTAAAAGACTTCAGCTTGGCTTTCTTCAGGGGATCAAAGTAATCTAAAGTTGGATCTGATGAGCAATGGTTCACCACAAAGTCATACGCTGCCTGCTTTCTTCTGCTCTTGACCTGTAGTAAATCATCACCATCATCTACCAGTGGACAAACTCGTGAACACTGCGTCGTTTTCATGGATTGGTGAACACATCCTCAAGCAAATCTACCAACTTCTCTACTGCTTTCATGTCTTCTTTAATTTGTGCTGGAGCGAATTCCTTGTGGATGTAGGTCTTGCAAGAATTAATCGACAAATGCCCACGAAGAAGTTTTCTGTGCATAGCACGCCTTGTGTAATTGAGCACCCATCTCTGAGTTGCAGCAAAATTAGCACTAAACTTGAGGTAGCCTCATCCCGTCTTGCAGTCGCGATTAATTTATTGTCGGCCTCGTTTCGTCCAAAAGGATTACAGGCCCCCATTTGAACGGAAAACTGGCCAAGGTTGAAGACTGTGTACACTTCCGGCGTTCTGAGAGACAAGTGACGCATGTTGTCCAGAAATAGATGAGATAACGTGCGTAGTTCTGGCAGTCATACGCTAATGCCCAGGGTATCAGTTCCTGTATGCAAGAAAGATACAACTGCCTGTCATCAGTGCGCGACGCAAAGATAAGGTTAAGCATCAGCTTGCAGAGCTCCGAGTAAGAGAGCCAGAACCTGCCTATAGTTGACCCCTTCTCCTTCATTCCCTGCACGCATACTTGGAGCTGTTCCCCGAATTACTGGAACTCATGGCTGCTCAACACTCGCCCAAATTCTTCCTGGTTCAGTTCTAATTTCAGTTGTTCCAAGTTCAAGGTGGGTAATGACTGGACTGAAGATTCAATCTCTTTCAAGAGCAATCTCATGAGGGCTTCATAAACACATTTATGAAGATGCACACCCCGATTGTACTGTTTTCCATTTAGAGACTTATCCACTGATCCCTCTGCCACGACATCACTCTGGACAGCTAGTTCTCTAAGCCCCGCATCCCTGAATCGGCTTCCAATAACTCCCAAGAGCATTAATAACAAATGAAAACCTCCCATCATTATGACTATGCCATCGAATAGCTCCTTGTGTTCCCAGTAAACCTCCATAGCCTTGGCGTAAAAAGCCTGATCAACAACACACACAACAGCACTCAACTGAATCCGATATTTTATCTCACATCCTCCAGACAACACCTCGTACGCGGTCTTCAGGTCAGTGGCAGGGGAGTCTGTAGTGTCCAATAAACCAAAAGTGCTCTCCACAACCACCACACGATAAGAAACTTTAATGTTAAAGCCGGTCCACCCAGGTATTAGTAATAATGGGTGCATTTCAAGCTTTCTCACCTCAATCCACACAAGGTAGTGCGGAGCCATTTCTTTTGCTTTGTCACGGTAACTCTGAGGTTTTGAACAAGCTGCAGTTCTCCTGGCCCCTCCCTTTTTCCGCCGTAGTACTCGGGTATATCCCTAGAGACCATAGTTGCTGGTAGGGATCTCCTGCATTTCTTCCCTACTGGTGATGCGTACTCTTGGTCATCTGACCCGTGTCCACTCTCTCTCTCCTTTTGTTCAGTGATGAGGATAGAGTTCACGAAATGGGATGTTCCAGACCCACTCAGTGTACCCTCCAAGTTATCAATATTACCCGCCACCATCAGGGCAACAGTGGATCTAGTTTCCTCTTGCATTTCAATGGGCGGAATGACGACTCAGTTTTCTAGTTGCTCGTTAATAACTTTTAACGCATACCCCGTCTCAATCTCTTCTACTAGGTCATAAGTGACACCATGACCGTACTTGTTGATTAGCTTTACAATCTCTGTTATTACAAAGAGCCTTTACAACAAAAGGAAATAACACGCTTTTTGGAGTTTTTTCAACCCCATTTGTAACAGAAAAAGCTATATCTTGAGCGAATGATTCTTTCAGCCTTGTTGTTCTTTCTGCGCTGCTGCTTTCGCTGTCGAGTGATTTCCCAGTAATAAGCCCAGTCAAAAAGACGTCAAGAAGATGTGGAATGTAGTCAGTGGTTCTGCTTGGTTTTAAATCGTCCTCTTTAGACGGCCAGGACATCTGTGGGTTAAGATCTTTTATTTCATCGTTTATCAATCGAGCAATTTGTATCACATTCTTCTCATCATCGCTCCTGGGACCTTTCAGCAACTCTAGCTTGGTTTTTAGCTCAAGGAAATCCAGCACGGTTTTGCCTATTGCTAATGTGTTGGGATACATTATCATCTTGTTATACTGGTGAGTGACAAAATTAATTTCTGGAAACATGTTTGAAACCTTTGGCATGAGGTTCTTTTTGTCTGATTTTGATACAGTTACTCCTAGCTCTCTAGCTTTGTTCAGAAACAGTTTTTTCACATCTTTATATTCGACTATTTTGGGTTCGCTATCAAATCTTCGCACAAACAGTTCACAGCGTCATATGGAGGTTCTAATGGGTTATCTGTTTTATTCAGAGTTTGACCTTCATTGCTGCTGGAATAATTTATTCATACAAAGTTTTTGTAGCAGGAAGCGTGGTACTTTGCTTCACTTGAAATGAGGTCTTTTGCGCATATTCCAATCACATGCCGAGCCACCTCGGTCATAGCAGTGTTTTGTTGCACATGAAGTGAAGCACATGTTCTTACTGTCTCATTGGCGCGCAGATCCTGGACACTGTGTAGCTTCTCTCGGGTTTTGGTATTTGGCTTGCACTTTGACTTTTTACAGAACAAACATTGATCCGGCAGAATCGTTGAGCTTACCTCATTTCTTTCTCTGGAGCTTCTCCTGGGTGCACTTCCAGTTGCTGCATCATCAGATGGTTCGTTAGCGACCTGTAAATCTCTCTTGTTGGTGAACTCAGCTCGGCAACTGCGATGGTATTTTATGGGATTTGCGGGTAGTTCGCTTTTAGTTGAAGCCTCCAAAACTGGTTTGTGATTTCGGATCATGGCAGCACGATATAACGGTCCACGAAGAAATATCTCTACACTGGGATGATGTTGTATCCGAACAACTGCATATAGTACATTCATCCGCCATTTACTACAGTGCAAAAGAAATGCCACGCAGGGGCAGAAGCTGTCAAAGCTGGTTGTTGCGAAAACAAGGACCGCAGAAACGAAAACACCCTTATTTTGTTTTTCTTACTTTGTATTGTAGGGTCTCCATTTTTCGCAAAAAACATAATCAAAGACCCTTACACTCTTTATTTTTACGAACATCTTGTCATGCTTTTGAGAAATAGTTAATTACTGAAATGAATAAAATGGTAAAGGTCGCTTGTGCTTTAATGAGAAAATAACTAACAAAAAATGGCAAGAATAAAGGAAGTACAACGGGCGATTTTGCGATTCTTATAAGGTGAAATGTCAAGAAATGACGATCTTTTGTCTGGAAATTCGGCATGGAAGTACAGTATTAAGGTTTAAGGTGTTGACGGGTATTTTTTTTCATTTTTTAAAAGAAGGAATGACCTAAATAAAAAATAAAACCTATATTGCTGGGAAAGAAAGATTTCTGTAAAACCAACCGTTTTCATATGTCAATAAAGGCAGCGTTGTTGCTCATCAGCTCTGCACCAATCACAACTGCGTTGCTGGGCAAACTCAACTTTTTGTGCCATCAAAACTACGTTGCTACGTGAACTTTAATTTTTTTGCGCTTTCAACTCTATGCAAATGACAACTATGTTGCCGGCAATTTAATTTGATTCCCCTAGAGCTGGGTAACTTCCTTATACAAGAAACTTTGACCTCAAACTTAAAGAAAAAACAAACAAACACTGCAAGGATCGATTTAGCGAAAATTAAGAACAGTAACCCTCGGATAAATTATATTGTCCTTTCCAGAAAACGAGGCAAATATTTTTGAAGGCACAATTTAAGCACAAAAATAAACGAAAATCAGGTTTTTAGTTGCAACACGGTTTAAATTGGCATTTAAATCGCAATTCATTCACGATGAAAGAGTAAGATCGATTTTGTAGCCTGCTCCAAAAATGCAAGATGGTGTGCGACATGAGAGTTCAAGGGGCAGGTTTAAATTGGGATTATGAAAGTGAAAGCTACCGTTCTATGCTTGCTATCACGCATTTCTACGACGCTTATTATAGAATAAGATTAGACATGTTTCTTCTGCTCCCCTCAAGTGAGCCATAGACCTAAATTTTCGGGTCTCAGCTGATGGACTACATTTATTGCTAGCTTGGGACTTGATCTTCTAGCTGTGGAAGGGACACCACCCTTTCTACCAGGATGTTTTGGCACGTCTGTTTGGACAGTCAATGAAAGATTTATGCCTTTCTTTGTACATGACTGTAAGTTTATGGTCTTCCGATCTAATGTTAGCCTAACGGCATTACCTGTGGAAGAGACCGAAAATGAATTACAAGAGGAATCAATTATGGATGCACTTAACGTTGATGAAGATTATAAACATGAGACAGTCAAGAGTATCCGGGTTGTTAGATTTAATTCATGTCATTGTTTTTTTTTTCATGTTTCTGTGCCTTGTTTGACCGGTTTATATAGCTGTTGAAGTTCAATTTTATATCTGCTTCCGCCTTATTATTCTTTGTTTTAGATATGTTTTGCATGGTAATAAGTTAAAAATGAAATATAAAAGTTAACTAAAGATAAAAATGAATCCCAACATAAAATATAACTTGCAAATCTTTTCGTGTAACGCTTGTACGCTGTAATTAATTTGCTTGACATTGTTTCCATTTAAACACAAATAAGTTTAGAAACTTTTTTGTATATCTTGGAATCAACCCATGATTTTAAAGTGGGTTCCTCTTTCTACGATAGTGCTTGACGTTAAGTTGCACTGAAAAGATGTTTAAGTTGCCAAGAAAGAGTTGTTTCATTAAAGAAACCAACAAAAGGTAGAGCAATTGTATTGTAATTGAAAGCCTCGTTTCTTGGCTCTTTTAAATTGTTCCTATTCATGGTTCTTATTTTCATATTACTTCGCGTCCTCTTTCATTTTTTTATTTTTATTTTTATTTTATTTGTTAATTTTTTTAGATTTTGCGCTTTTCTTGGTATTTTGGGGGGTGTTTCTGGTTTTCTGGGGGTGTTCGGGGTTTTAGGTGGTGGTCTGGGTTTTTTGGGTGTTCCGGGATGTTCCGGTGTTCCTGGAAGTACTACATGCCAGGAAATACTGAGCTGCTTCTGTAAAAAGAGCAACAATTTTCTTCAGGTAGGCTTAAGAGTAACTAAATCACAAATTATCCATACCGCTTTTAACTCTTTTTAAAGAGCAAGGCCGAATTCCACCCCACAGTTACTCGGGCTGTTGAAGAAACTCAATAATGACTGTTGAAGGATTAGACGTAAAATTCCCGTCAACGAAACATGGCTTACAATACCTTTAGTTCTGCTTGTTTTTTGCATTTCTTGATGACCAGTGAGAGTTACACAAAATCAATAACATACATCACATAACATAGAACCTTGGCATTTGCACATTTTAACTACATTTATTACCGTTAACTTTATTTTTCAATCAGTACTTTCCAAAAATAAGCTACTTTTAAACAGTGAAATGTCCTGCGGGTATTCGCAAAAATAGTGTATATGGTGATGCTCGGCCCAACAGTAGTACATTTGTACCTTTTCAGGCTTCAGATACAGTAAAAATCCGCGAGGAAGAAACTGCATTTTCCGAATTAGCATAAACAGGGTCTGACAGAAATGGTAATTAGCGCAAATTTAAGGTAGTTAGGTTCTTTTAAGAAATAAGAACCAATTTCGTAACTTAGAGTATTTTTCTGCTTATTCCCAATTTTAATGTCTCCACACCATTTCATTGCAGTTGGAGTAATAGGAGATCTATGTCTCCAAATAGGGTCCTGAATGTTGACTTATCCTACTTACCCAAGTATATAGGTTTTCTTTTCATAGCGTAAAAAAAAGAATTAGAACCTGATTTAGGATAAACAGTTTGTTGCATAGAAGAGGCCTACCTAGTACAATTTCGCGTGACAGGTTCTTAAAACACCAAGTCCTTACTCGAAATTTTGTAAAGTAAAAAGAAAGAGTGGGGATCTCACTAGTGGGAGGTATTATACTTTGCTCTGTTTTGTTATCCATAAAATTATGAATCTATTTTACTGCGTGCTAAAAGCACGTTTAAGTGTACCTTACGAGGGAGGTTATTCAATGTGTCATTGTCTTCCCAGTCTTCTTCCATATATGTCATAATGTCTCATCCTCTGAATCTGTAGGTAGCGTTGTGTTTTTACAGCTTTCTTCCACCCTCCACGAGTACGCCTCGTACAGGCCAGACCTGGATTGGAGCAAGAGCAATTGCCTTGAGACTGTTACATGTGATTAGTTCAACGAGGTTACTTGGGGCAGGATCCTCTGTCATATCCTTTCATCTATTTCTGCACCCTCTAGATCTTGCATTGCTATTAGTGAGCTTCTCCAGAAAAATGTCTGGTAGCTTGCGCCTTTTAAGGTGTTGGCTTAAATTGTCCTAAGTTGGTGAGGCACCTCACTGTTACGTTTTTGCTGTTAGGCAGCGCAGCTTGTCCATGGTTCTTGTGCTCTTTCTTGTTTTGGGATACAAATTACGAGGAAAGCCTCGGTCTGTCGTGCTTTTGTCTCTGAGGTGAACCAAACAACACATGACTGGAGATAAGTCATACGAAAGAACGTCCCTGACGCCATAATATATCTCTGTCAGCTTTCACTGTTATCAACCTTCAATCTCCTGCTTTAAGATGTACTTGCCTTATTGTTGTCTCAAAAGTCCTCACTTGCAGTGTTATAATAGAGAAGTATTTTTCTTCCCTTTCTTCATTATTTCAACGTTTTACAACAATTTTGAGATCATCCAAGTACAAGCACCTGTACATATTAACAATAATTTAATATTGATGAAATTTTTTGTAAAACAGCGAAATTTCATGCACTGCACGAAAATTGATAGCCAAGGTTATATTATAGTTTCTAGACGTAATCTCCTACCACTGATTTCTATTATAAATACTGCTGTGTGAATGTACCCTGTATGTATATGATGTAGTTAAATGTTTATTGAAGTTAATTTTACTTTTTTCATTGTTTTTCAGTATTATAATGTATGCTAATGAATTTGAAACAAAGGAAAAACAAAAATCAACTAAAATAGAAAATTAACTGCAACATTTACGCTTAACGACGGGGCTGGAGAGCACAGGTTCTGACGTACTTCAAATTTCTACTCTTTACTATGAACATATTTTACCAGAAGCAGAAAACATACCATATAGTTAATGGTGCAAACTTATACCGAACACACATTCTGCTACTAGACTACTGGAACAGGTAAGGGGAGAAAGGCAATAAATACTAGGGCCACGAGGATACCATGTCTCATTCTCAAGTTTTCTCTCCTTTCAAATAGGATGGGTGCAGTCCTCAAAACGACACCGAAAAATACAGAACATATCTACTTGGGACATTTTTTCTGATATGCTTCCCACAGAGTTCCCACTTCTTCTTAACTCACCGCTCTCAAAGGTATTGAGCATAACCCACCTGGTGTAGTTGGTATAAAGAGGTTGGCACAGGTCCACCAATACTGCACATCTTTATGCCGCAGTCCTTTGTCAAACCCACTGTTAACACAAATACATTCTCTTTTCCTCTTCCTCTTGAGTAACCAAATTTGTGAATGCAGGGCGAGCAGAATCCCTTTTTTCTAACTCTTTCTGTTCTCCAAAATGCTGCGCCTGCAAATTTCAAGTGAAGTAGGATTACTTTTCACCACACCACAGCAAAAATTTTAGGATGTCGTTTGTAACGTTGTTGGATACAAAGTCCGTGCAGGTTGTTGGGGGCTCACCTCCCTTGATGGAAAAAATGGAGCTATGTTTGTTTATTGTTTGTATCAAGCCAGAAACCTTCTCTGGATACCTTTGCCACGCGCAAATGCCTTCTCCTATCTTGTGCTACATGTAACTGGATTAAGCAACCATATGAAATGGAATGGCAAGTGCTCCCTCATTTTCTTGTATGTAGCTTTCTATTTGACCTTCCTG